GGCCGCGCGTGCCAAGATTGATCAGCTTCTGAGGGATTTACATCATTGGAGGTGGCGCTGGGAGTACAACAATTCGGGTGCTGCAAGGGAATATGACATGCCTCTTGACAAAGGGGCGGAACACATTCCACTGCCTTGGGCCAAGACTTTGGTGTCTAGGCCAATCGAGGTGAATTCTCCGGAACAGGCTGCCGAGCTCATCATCTACAATGCTTCGATCACGCAGCTTATGAATCTGCAAGTTTTGTTGGACACGGGCATGCGGCACCCAATGCCATTCCCTGAAGATATCGACAGAGCCATGCTCAAGCCAGCGGAACATCCTCTTTACAAACCAAATGAGGTCAAACATAGGTGGCAGCCGTCGATGGAGGGCTTAAGGCTCATGAGGCTGGCACCGAAACAGTTATCTGTCAGCAACGGTACCTCAGTCATGCTTGCTGCGTCGCCCATTGGAATTATATACAACTCCTTACTGGGTACGGAAGGTCTTGGAAATTTGTTGTTGTCAACGATGGCATTGCCGAGTGATTATGCAATTACGAGTAGAGAGCTTTCTGTTTTTCGCTTATGGTAGTAAGCAAGATATTAATCAATGGGTTACTAAGGCATACAGTACAACCATAAAGAGCCACTTGGATGAATAAAGTGTCAAAATACAAGCCTATCACATTGGCGAGCACAGGAGCTCTTTCCACGACGTTTTCTACCATCAAAAGAAAAGGAATTGCGTCGAGGGGGAATCGAACCCCCGGCTCCCCGACGCTGCTGGATGGCAACGGAGAATTTTACCACTAAACCATCGACGCTGATGATTCGATGTCGTTCTCCGTTGCAGCGTTGCTGTTGAAGCCTTTCGCCACATCGCGCGATCTTTGGCCAGGCTGCCTCGATCAGCCTCCTCTCTGTTCAGCCATCGAGGGGTTTGAAGTTCCTCCAGATGCCTCTGACCTACTCTCTAGTCGTTGGTGCTCTGATCTTCGTTCAAGGAGCTTGCCCACTCCTTCATGGAGTCCTTCGTTCTCGCAACCAGTTTTTCCCGCCATCCGCCGGCCGTATCCACTGTCCACCCAAGCAGCCCATAATTCCAAGCCAACAATCCTTCAGCACGTGCGCCATCCGGATGATCCAACAACCCGACAGCGATGTCAACCATGTCTTCACGGTCGTCAACGGCGTAGAATACGCTGGCTGAACACACTGAACAGGAGTACCGCTCTACCTCGGGAGAACTGTTGTAAACCGCCAATGTTCCGAGGCGTGGGTCTTTGGTCTTGGATAGAACTGCTTCTTTCAGTTCAACGATTGTCTGCGGGAACTGAGACGGCACAGATGCGGGCTCAGTGCTGAAGTTGATGTGTGTGAGAGGAGCAAAGGTCCAGGCGATAATGTCTGAGCCGAAGTGTTGGCGGCAAGAGTTGCACGAATCGCAACATGCCTTGAACTTGAGCGTCTTGGGATCCACGCACGTCGAGGTCGATTCCTTCGCCGGATCCGTCTCCAAGTCCAAGGCGCTCCTCAGCGACAGTTGAACACCCTCACAGTGGCAGTGGAACATGATTGACGACGGAGAAGGACTGGCATTCAGCCGAGAGGCAGGGACAGACTTTCTGAGCGGCCAGTCGAATGGAACCTCTTCGCTGTTGCGATGCCCTTTCCAACGCTGGACCGGGTCTCCATGCTCTTCTTTCGGGAGCCATGGCGCAAGGCCGCCATCGATAGTGTCGTTGATGAACATGTGGTTGTCATATTTGACGAGACCAGGGATGTTTTCCAAAGCACCGGTCGTTACGTACGGGGCGATATTGGGATTGTGACCACGGGCGAAGAGCTGTGACGAGCAAGTCCCGCACGAATAGACATCAAAGTATTTTGAGAACGGATACTTGCGTAGGGAAGATAGGTCTACAGAGGCGTCTGGCCACGCGACTGCAGGGTTGTAAAGAGATCCAGTCAGTCGGCGACAAGACGTGCAGTGACAGCAAGACGCATTGAGCGGCAATGCAGATTTCGGCAGTGAAGCGGAGAATGTGTGTGCTTTACACATGCACTGTGCCTTGATAGTGACTGGGTCATCCATTGTGCAGAAAAGGTTGTGAGCCTAGGGAATTAGGGAATTTTATGATTTTGAGATGATCCAGGTCAAAAGTTTCTGGAGACTGAAGTAAATAGATGAGATGGACGACTTGTCAACTTTCTCAATATTTTAGGCTGCCATGGGCTGTACAAGGGCGTGAATGACAAGCTAATCATCTCGCCTCGTGATTGTGCACCACCTACGTCACCGGGGCGGGCACAGGGGCCTCATCTCAGTAGCTATATTACGCGCCAAGATGCAACTCGAGTAAGACTTTACAGACATGGAGCAACAAGCAGCCGACTCATGCTGCAACCACAATGCCTCGCGATGACAACTTGCGTATTGCTCTAGGCATCTCTGTTCTGAAAGAATCTGATTTCGTAATTCTACAGTCAGGAACAAAGTATCCGGCTCACTCATGTCCTAGAAAACGTGCCCCCGACAACTTGAACATCCTGGGCTCGACGCGCGGCCGGCAAGAAACCCACCTTCACAAGAGCTTCCACGTTCTTCTTCAAAGCTACCTTGAGCTGTAGCGGGCAAATATCGTGGCTTTTTGCCACCTCTTCCCACTCCATGCTACCGTCTTCGAGCAGGTGAGCCAGCGGCCAAAGGGGATGCTCCTCTTTCCGACGCGAAATATCGTTCCTGACCGTTGATAGCCATTTAGCAGCACGCGCTGGACGGATGTCATAGCCCATTCCCTTGACCAAAGTCCAGAACGTCCCCCAAGTCATTCCTTCGTCATGCTGGGTCACCGGACTAACAGATAATTCCGGATTTAACGCAGTTCGAATGGCACCTTCTGAAGTTGTAGCAGCGTCGGAGAGATGCAGCCATGCCTGCTCCTCGTCCGTATTGTAGATACCCATCTCAATGTTTGCAGCCGTGAGCCTCCAGATGTAGTCGTCCAAATTTGCTACACCTTCTGCGGGCGTCCCGATGATAAGCCCTGGTCTGAAGACACCAATATTTCGCTGTGAGACGGGACACCGCTCCGCAGCTCTCTTAACGAGAACCTCAGCAACAAACTTTGTCTGGCTGTAACCCATAGAGTCCGAAAGCTCTAGGGCGATGTCCTCGTCCCGTTCTTCGGCACTCTTCCACTGTCGTCCACCAGACACGTATGCAAATCGCAAAGCAGGAGTCTGAACAGCAATGCCAAGAAGCTTAACTGTTGAATGAATGTTGACCGCCTCCAAGGCAGCATAGCTCTTGTTCCAATGAACAATAGCACCATTGTGAATGATGATGTCAAATGTATGTCCATCGTTTAGCAAATCCCATTGTTTTTGACCGAGGCCGAGCATACTCTTCGCGAGATCCCCCATCCAGACGTCCAGCTTGTCCTCGTGGAACTCGGTCCACCAAAGAGCCTTGTGTGCAGTCTCAATCACACGATCTTTCGCCGCTTGAGGTGTCGCTCCGCGTACCAGAGTGATGACATGGGCAACATCGCGCCGCTCCAGAAGTTGTCGTAGTATTTGAGTACCCAGGTATCCGCTTGCGCCCGTAAGGAAAACCCTGAGATTGTCTGTCTTCTTGGCCAGACTGCCTCGGACATTTCTAGACAATACGCCTGGAAGTTCCTGGAGCCCCGCGTCTAGACGATCAATTTCATTCATCAAATCGATCTGCCGAGTCTCAGAGGCCATGGTGGAAGATGTCAACGGCACAGGGCTGTTGGAAGCAGCATGGGTGATGAAAGCTGCCAGCTTCCTGGTGCTCGTTTGCTCGTCCATGAGCAGCTGCATGCTGACTCTGACACTATACTTCAGGCGAACGAAGTGCATGAGCGACATCATGTTGAGAGAATCTAGACCTGAGGTGTGTAACAGAATATCGTTGAAGCCGTCTAGCCGGGGCTCTGTCGAAAGAGACCTCCGAGATACCAGATCTGTGATTTTCTGTGCCAGCTCGTAGGCGGGGAGCTCGTGAGGTTGAATTGTTGCCACTGTACTTGGTATCGGTGCAGAAGTGTCCAGGATCTCAGATTCTCTGACGGACAGACTTTGGACCCATGTTGTGACCTTATTCCTGTCGACCTTCCCTGAGGTCGAAAGTGGAAATCTTTCCCGAGAGAGGGTCGCAACGTCAATGAAGTGTGCCGGAAGCATGATGCTTGGAAGTTTGCCAGTCAACTCTTGACGAACTTGCTCTGCAAAGATATCAAATCGAGTCATGATCTGATGGAGACCAGACGGTTTGTCGCCCTCTTCTTCTTCGAGCTCCAGAACCGCCACAAGTTGATGTGAGAATGGTCCCGACGAGGGAAAAACAACAATACCGCGCTTGACGGAATAACAACCAGCGATGTGTGACTCAATATCTCCGAGTTCGATTCGCTGGCCGTTCAACTTGACTTGGAGGTCCTTTCGTCCCACGTACACCAGAGTTCCGTCGGTAGCTCTCTTCACAAGATCCCCAGTCTTGTACAACCTATTTGTACCCATATGACCCTCTATAGATACCCATGGTGGTCGCGAGAGAAAGGAAGCAGTTGTCTTCTTAGAGTCATTCAAGTAGCCATCGGCTAAAGTCGGACCACCTATAAGCAACTCGCCAACCTGTCCATTCGGAACAAGCACCGTGTCATCATCTGCGGCAACGACCCACGCAGAGCATCCGACCGGGTTTCCAATGGATTTCGGATCCGTATCGTAGGTACATGAATAGCAAGCAGCGATGACGGAGCACTCACTCGGGCCGTATGCGTTGAAGAGGGCCAAACCAGCATCAAGCCATTTCTTGATCAAAGCCTCATCAGGAGCTTCTCCACCCAGCACTAGAGTTTTTAAGGACGGCATTTCTGTGGGACGAATGATGCGAGCCACCGATGGAGTGAGAAGCGCGAGGTTGACGCGCGTGCGACTTGCAAATTCTCCAAGATTTTCGAAGCGCTCCTTCTCAGTGGCGACACAAACAGTTCCACCGTGTATAAGGGTCGTGAGGATCTCAAACAGACTGGCGTCGAAACTGTACGCGGAGAATTGCAGGACGCGGTGCTCATCGTTCATACCGAAGACGGAACCGTGGGCCGTTGCGCTGGAGGCAAACGCGGCATGGGAGACGACGATGCCCTTAGGATCGCCCGTCGAACCAGAAGTGAAGATGATGTATGCAGGACTGTCGTGGGTCACCTGAGTTGATGGTTGCCATTGATGTCGGAGCCTGGAGGTCCCGCTAAGAGCATCCCGATTGACGATCATGGACGCCACAGCACCGAGATCAGTTGCCTTGTGTTGGAATGCAGACACGAGAACTGTTTCGGCTTTAACCTGCGTAACAACCTTTCGTAGACGTGAGACGGGCTGGCTCGGGTCTAAGGGCACGAAGGAAGCGCCGGCTTTCAAGACCCCGAGCATTGCAACGACAGTCCAGACAGATTTCTCGAAGCACAGTGGGATCTTGTCTCCCTTCAAGACTCCCTTATTGACAAGTTGGACGGCAAGTGCCGTGGACATGTGTTCGAGCTCTTCGTAAGAGAGTGAGTCGGCTGTTGAGACTACTGCCTCTCTCTGGGGTTGTGCCAGACTCATTGTTGTGATGAGTTGATGAAGCGTAGCCGAGACCTTATTTGCTTCGAGAGGTTGAGAAGCTCGTTGTTGGATAGATGTAGAGGTTGAGTCAAAGGCCAGGTCTGCGATCATGGAAGGTCTGTAGTTATGCGATGTAGCCCAAGCGAGTTGATTCATGACAACCTTCACTGTTTCAATGGCTTGAGCTACGAAGAGTCGACTTGTTACATCTTCATCGACATGCGTCGCAAACTCGATCCGTCCAGAATGAAGCCATGCCTCGCATGTCACGGGGAATGTGGTAAACTCCTCGCGATAGATCGGCTTCCCCAGGGGACCAGGCCCTGTCTCATCCCAGCCGCCGCCTGCCTGAATGACGAGCAGGTTCTGAAGTTCGCAAGCGCGCTTTGTGTCTTCGTTGAGTGACTTGATCTGTTGGATTCCGGACTGTTCATAGGGTATCATGGCGATGGCATGGTCCTGGATCTTTCGCAGAAAGACGAGGATATCCGACCCTTTGTCGAGGCGAACTCTGACAGGCACTGTGGCTATTGTCGGACCTTCGACGCTTTCGATGTTGTTCAATGGTGCGTTTCTACCTGAGACCGTTGCGCCGAAGAGCACGTCGTTTGACTTGGAGAAATGGCTAATCATGAGACTCCATGCTGCTCGAACGATGGTTGACGTAGTGATTCCTGAAGACTGATCGATGTTGATATGAAGCTCATCGCGCACCACAGCTCGAGCAAAGGACTGGTGGCCAGGCTTAGGAGCGGCTGGGAAGTGTGACAAGCTCACCCCCTGTAGCTCTGTCGTCCAGTAATTCGCGTATGTCTCTGACGTGATCCTCTGTGTGTATTCGATGAAGTTGCGGTAATCAGTTGCTGGCTTGATAGTGCGGCCGTGGTACGAATCGTTAAGACGGTTACAGAGCATGGCCAGAGACCAGCCGTCATAAAGCATGTGATGTATGGTCCACACGAACGTCACGTCGCCAGACTGTGATGTGACCAGAGCAAAACGATTGAGCGAGTCTCCAGGAAACATAGGGTTCGCATCGTCTTGCTCGAGGTATGCTTCGAGATCGTCGTGTGTATGCCACAGGACTTTCTCCCTGATAACAGTCTGAAGAGACCCAGCAGTCGAAGTCGTTGCGAACCTGGACCGGAGTATCGGTGATGCGGCATGGATATCCTCCCAGCACTTCCTGAACCGCGACAGATCGACGTCCCGAGGCAGCGGATGGATCCATCGACCAGTGTAACTACCTGGTCGCGTGAGGTTGACAGCCATCAGACCCTCTTGCATGTTCGTGCAAGGGTACAAGTCTTCGATTTCATGGACAGCGACGTCACATTGGAAAGCGGCTTCACGTTGTAGCTCTGTGGTGTCCATTCGCCGCAAGAAGTGGAACGGAATGAACTGGACAGGAGACAAAGCCTGCTTCTCAGATGTCGTACTCTTACACACGAGAGCCATCTTGCCCAATACAGAGTTCTTGAAGATGTTGGCAACATTTATCTGGAGCGATTGCTTACGACAAGCCGCCACGATCCTGATAGCTCCGATGGAGTCTCCGCCAAGCTTGAAGAAGTCATCCTCGAGAAGGATTGAGTCTTCAGGTAGACCTAAAACTTCTGACCAAGCTAGCCGTAGTGACTTCTCAGTTGGTGTAAGACTCGACTGTGAAGGCTCGCATAGCAATATCGAAGCTTCGGTTGAGGGGTACGTGTCGGATATCGACGTGTGCTGTCCGACTGAAGAATCCTCTTCGCTACCGAGAAAATCTGGAGATAGTGCCTCAGGGACCTCAACAGGCGCGGTGTGATCTTCCAGGTTGTTTGCTGATCTCAGCAGATGTTTCAACTTTAATGCGTTTCCGTATATGCGGAGTATCTTCCTGTCAACCTTGCCTGACGGTGACAGGGGCAATGTGCTGCATGGTACAACTGCCCTTGGTATCATGTATCCAGGGAGAGCACTGGCGAGTTCTTCGATAGCTGTGAGAAACTTCCGATGTATTGTCGTCCACAGAGAGTGAGATTCTTCAACAATGAGTGGCCCTTCTCCATGAAAAGTGGTTCCGGACATTGTCTTGGGGGCGATGAATGCCGTGAGGATGCTATGTTCTCCTCCAACAGGGCGAAGGAGCTCGACAATCAATTCCCAATTTGTCCCAGGAGATGAGGCTATCTTTTCGGAATTCAACGATTGTCTGAGTTGATGCTCAATCTCGCCAAGCTCAACGCGCTGACCATGGATCTTGACCTGGGTGTCTTTCCTGCCAAGGAAGTCGATAGTCCCATCATGGTTCATCCTTCCGAGATCACCAGTGCGATAACATCGCATGGGCCGTCGTACGACACCGCGCAGGAAATCAGGATCATCCAAGAAGACAGCCCTTGTCTTCTCCTCATCATCTAGGTACCCACGCGCAACAGGCGGGCCCTCGATCACGATCTCACCAACAGTACCGAATGGAGCAAGCTGGCCGTCTTCTCGGACGATCCAGACGGCACAGTTGGGAGGTTTTCCAAGAGAAATGCTCTTAACCCCCTTAGTCCTCGGCTCACTGACGATGGTAATAGCGGAGCACTCTGCCGGTCCGTAAGCATTGATGGTTTTGACATGGTCGGCCCAGGTGTCAGCGACAACCTGCGGTAATGCTTCTCCCACGAGACATAGAACCCTAAGGCTTGGGACTTCCTCCGGAGCTATTAGGCTTGCAACAGAAGGTGTCAGCATTGCCCAGTTGACCTTCATGGTAGAGATGCAACTGGCGAGGTTGTTCATCCTGTCTTCCTCTGACGGAATGCAAAGACATGATCCCGCCATCAGGCTAGCAAAGATCTCGAGCATGGAAATGTCGAAAGAGAAAGAGGAGTACTGCAGGACCCGGCAGGTGAGAGAGTCGAGGTGTATGGCTTTGGTGAAGCCCTTGGCGCTGGAAAAAAAGGCCTCATGAGTGACCACAACACCTTTTGGCTTTCCGGTAGAGCCGCTCGTGTACACAAGGTATAACGAGTTACTTGGGGAAGATGAGTTGTGCTTCAACGAAGATTGTCGTGCGGTCGACAATCTGTCCAAGAAAGATTGGTCGACCACAATGCGGTTCTCCCGTTGGATTTGTGATGGGATCTTGCTTTTGCTGACGATGGACGACACAACGACCTTGGCATTTACGTCTTTAATGATCATGCTGATTCGAGCTGCAGGAAGCGAGGGATCCAAGGCCACGACCGCTCCTCCAGCCATTACCACCCCCAGAATGGAGATGATACTGTAGACGGACTTCTCGAAGATGATCGGTACCACCACTTCGGGTCCGACTCCAAGACTAGCAAGATGCGTCGCTAGGATCTCTGATGAAAGTTGCAACTGAGAATACGACAAATCACCGTCCCAAGCGCAGATAGCTTGTGCACGAGGATTTGATCTGGCATGTTGTGCTATTGACTCTTGAACAAGATGTTCTTCTCTTATCGGGAGTCTTTCTCAAATTAGATAAGCTCGAAACTAATACAATTGTAGACTGTGGGAGAGACTGAAACTTACGGTCTGTTCAATTTGACAAGATGTCGTTGACTCGCGGGACTCATGATCTGTACATCCGCAAGAGTGAAGTGCTCTCCAATCGAGTTGGCCACCTGCCAAATAACGTGCTCGAGATCACTCAGTAGCAAACGAACTCTCGCCTTGGGAATAGAACGCTCATTGAATGTCGCAGATAACTGTAGATCGTGTCCTTCAACGAGACAGTGAAGCTGTAAGGCGAAATTGGAAGCATTGACTGGCTGTTCCTGATGTTGAACAGTAGTTGTGAAGTTGACAAGGGTCTTGGAGAATGGTTCACCTCCAGTCTCGTGGCAAGCTTCCAGCCTTTGGTTGGCTTCTTCAGTTATAAGCCATGTGTCTTTGACTTGCTGAAGAAATGCTGAAAGTGGAATATGGGTGTCAATAGACACTTTAAACGGTGTTACGCTGCTCACGGACTGAGGAGTGCCACTGCTCGAGACGCACACATCAAAGTTGACTACTTCGCTGTCGCCGAAGGAAGACAATATCAAGGCCCAGGCTGAGCACACTATGGACTCCACATCATCTGGTGCGTCGCAAGTAGGGCCACGAAGATGGGTGACCAACTCTGGCTGTGATTCACCAGACGTAAGTTTGGATCGACTATCATTCGATGGTGTCCGAGCTTGCTTGCTTTCCGGCACATCAGGTGCCTGTCCGTCATATGGGACACTGCTATCGAGGCCGTCTCCATCATGCGTTGTTGATGTCTGAAGACCGATAACCTCCTGATCATAATGATGAGTTGTAGGTGTCTTGAAGATAAACCGCTTAGGCATGCCCGGGATGTCCGCAGGGAATGGATTGTCAAAGAAGATCTCGTCCGGTGTTTCTGCATCCGCCGGGGTCGGAGCATCGAACACAAATTTGACAGAGTGAAGTCGAGGCGTGAGCTTCCATTTCCCGTCTGTGGATAACATATTGAAGATTTGGCTTGGTTGCAGCGATGCAGGTACTGGCGATGCATGCACGATGTAAGCCTGGAAGCGTGGCGCCAAGACGGGAAGGTCTTGGACAGTGTTGTTTGTATACGTTGCTTATACTGAGAAATTATCCTTGGATTGACGCAGGACCTTACCACTTGCCTCTGTACATGTATGAATAATACTGAAGGATCTGCCATCGCTCCATCGGACTAGAGTCGGAACCTTTGCATGTCTCGAGTCCGAGAAGGTTAGACATGGGGCCACAGATAATCCTTCAACGTCACAACTAGCTATCGGCCTGATCGGCTGGCTCCCGTGATAGTTCCCGGCCATGTCGCCATACTCAGACCGCGCGTAACACGGAAAAGCCCAGACGACGCCTCCTCGGGTAAGTACTTTAGACTAAGACTTACAACAGGTAGTCTTCGGGTTGTCCAAATCAGATATTCTAGACTGGTCGCCGGTCTTCTACAACCTCCCCAAACAGGAAAAGATTCCGGGACCTCTCACACCGTCAATCCTTCGATGCTGCGCCATTTCATGGGGATGCTCAGGTTGTGGTCGCTCGAGAGAGGGTGACTCTCACAAGACAGGGGTTGCCGCAGCCCCTCCTCTTGAGTCTAGAACAGCCATCTTTGACTCTCATTCCTCCTTTGATTATTTGGTCATTGCTCATAAACCGAAAGAAGGTGGAGTGCGGCATTTATCGGCATTATGTGACCGTCTCTATTCATCTTGAAGTGCGATAAGTTGAATTTGTACAACGTCTAAGCGCCTTCTTTGACGTTAGAAATCGACTTGGATGCGATCCGATTGGGTACTCGAAGCTCTACACTGAATCATATGTCTCTGTCAAGACTCAAAATGCTAAAGTCTCTAGTAATATCGAGAAAAAGGCTGACTGGTTTGGCGACATAACTCCAAATAGTGGGTGCGTGATCCCACTCATTCGTCAGCGATGCGGTGATGCCTCGCCACGGAAAGGCTGGAAATCCTGTTGACCCCCATCGGTTCTTTTGTAGTGCATGCATTCTAAAGTGGTTGCATACTGTACCTTGCATGGGTTCGTATGCGGGTCTCCGGGTTTCCCAGTTCGCATAGATTCTTCCCGTGCCTCGGGAACCAATAATCGATCTCACTCTGCATGACGAAAAATGCTTGAAAGAACAAGTCTTGATGCAGGTGCCTGGAGGCTGGTGACTAGCAGCCCACTCACGAATCCTTCGGCCCCATTGAGAAAGGGGTGGTCAGCGATAAGACAGCGGCGGAGTCGTCCCGGCGGCCGATATCGTGGATTTTCGAACATGGAAAATGTCGAGCTTTGTCTTACCCCTCAGACATCCACAACGTCTACCCATGATGTTCGTTTTGGCCTTCCGGATGCGGGTTGGGGGCAGTGTGATGGGATCCATGTCTAGGCTTGAATCCTCTCATGGCGGTCAGCCGGTGCAGCGGGGCGAGGCTTCTACTGAGGTTCCGCCGTGCTATCCTCGAAATAGAACCAAGACACTTCAGAAGTCGCCGCTCTGGAAAATTGGATACGACTGAAGGGTTGCCCAGGCGGTCCCGTTGCATCTACCCAAGCTGGAATCCTCTACTATCTTTCGAATTGTAGTTTTCTCGATGGCTCCTGAACAAACGCCTGCTCACGAGACAACCGGTGTGAATATGGAGGACTCCCAGCAGGAAAAAGGCAATGTGCTCGACAGCAGCAATCAGTCGGATGAATCCCACTCTGAAGAGACACACACCAAGGAAAGTGAGAGCCTTCCGGGATGGAAGATATTCGTCATTTGGCTGGCGATTGCACTTGGTGTTTTGTGTACTTTCCTCGATGAAGGCATCATTGCGACAGCCATTCCGCGCATTACCGATGAGTTTGGATCTCTCACAGACGTTGGTGTAAGTGGCATTTTATTCCGTGGACTGACTTCAATTCAGCAAACTGCGGCTAATGAGCTTATAGTGGTATGGCTCAGCATACCAAATGACTCTTTGCGCATTCCAACTCATCTTCGGACGTCTGTACAACCAGTTCAATGTCAAGATCATTTTCGTGATCTCTCTCGCCATCTTCGAGATTGGGTCCCTCATCTGCGCAGTGAGCCCGAGCTCAGCAGTCTTCATCGTTGGACGCGCCGTCGCCGGCCTCGGTGCATCTGGCCTTCAAAGCGGCTGTTTAGTACTCATCTCAGCAGCCCTTCCTGCAAAATACCTACCGACGTATGTAGGTGCCATAGGGATGGTTTATGGTGTCGCCGCTGTTCTCGGGCCGGTAGTCGGCGGCGTTATCACGAACAGCTACCTCACGTGGAGATGGTAAGTGGTATCCTGTTGCTCGAATCTGCTCGCCGTGCAACATTCACCTTACTCATATCAAATCGTTATCAGGTGTTTCTACATCAACCTTCCAATCGCCGCACCACCTGCTCTCGCGACGTTGTTTCTGGTCAAGTCGTCCCCACCAACCGAGGAGCAGCGGCGGCCTTGGCTGCAGAAAATCCGGGGCTTGGATTATCTTGGCATGCTCCTCTTACTGCCAGGGATCACCTCATTCCTCCTGGCCCTCCAATTCGGAGGCGCGCTTTTCACGTGGGATGACAAACGAATCATTGCGTGCTTTGTCGTCGCCGGCGTTCTCGTCATCGGCTTCGTGACCGAACAGTGGTGGATGGGCGAAAAGGCGCTGGTGCCGCCGCGCCTAGCTAAGATGCGTGTGGTTATCTTTGGGGCCTTCTTCGGTTTTTGCTTGGACAGTGCCTTCTTTACCCTCGTTTACTACGTATGATGGCCGATTTTCTTGCGATCCTGTTCAGCAAAGAAACACTAGCTAACATCTCTTATAGGTGCCTCTCTGGTTCCAAGCAATCCAGGGTGCTACTCCCGAGGAGTCTGGTGTTCGATACCTGGCCCTATGTCTAGCATTCATCCTCACCATTTTCCTCAGCGGCTGGGGTGTCACCAAAACGGGTTACTACCAACCTTTCATGCTCGCCGGTACTGTTCTCGTCTCTGTTGGCGCCGGTCTTCTTTCGACGCTCCAGGTCTCTTCAGGTGCGAACCTCTGGATTCCCTTTCAAGTCATCGCCGGGCTTGGCATTGGAGCATCGACACAGCAAGCAGCGGTCGCTGTCCAGAGCATCCTGGAAGAAGCCGACGTTGCGATAGGAGTGGCAGTCGTACTGTTCTTCCAGTGCTTCGGTACTACTACTGCCATCACAGTTGCCCAGGCCGTGTTCGCAAGCACATTAACGTCGGGAATCACCTCCAATGTCCCAGGGGTCGATCCCCAAGCAATTAGAAACTCGGGTGCAACCCAGCTTAGAGACTTGGTATCGCCAGACCAGTATGGCACACTGCTGCAGGTATATAATCATGCCATCACAAGAACATTCATAGTTGCTGCTGTCATGGCCGCGGCGAGTGTCATTGGCGTTGCTGGTGTCGGACTAAAGAAGATTCCTGGTGAGGGTGACGAACAGAAAGACACCGAGGGCAAGTGATTTATTCGTTGTGGGAAAAGGAGGCTCGCGATATGGGCACGAAATATAGAGACTACAGGTTAGCTTCAATGACGACAGATATCAGCAATAATCCACAAAAGGAGTTGGTGATCTCAGTCCAATCTACAACATCATGCAGGGTTAAGATTGTCAGTCAGTCACGGATCCTAGCGCTCAAAATAGAGAAATCCCTGTCTTAGTCATCGTCAATGCATGGTGGTAAAGGCCCAATGACGGCGTGTCCAGCTGCCCGGAATGGGTCAAGCCAACTTCTGACAATCCCCGTTACAACTTGCCTTAGCCACACAGCGTTGCATCCGTCCGTTCTCAATGACATCTTGACAATTGACTTTCCGTTCTCCGGAACCCCAGATCTCCAAGCTGTCGTCGGATCGCAGCTTCGAGGTTTGTCTTCAGCAGAGTTTCCGTTCTGCAGCTTTTCTAGCTGTCAGCTCCGGACCACAAAACCAATGGAAGACCACAACGCAGCGGTCAAGCGCATCGCTGAAGTCGTAAAGGACTTCCACTCGCGCCGGGAACCTTTCCGAATCTTCCACGGTTCCACAAGCAGCACCCGGCCCGCCCATCGACAGCGCGTCGTCGACATCAGCGAGCTGCATCATGTTCTACACATCGACACCACGGCCGCCGTCGCTGTAGTCGAGCCCAATGTCCCCATGGACCAGCTCGTTGGGGCCACTTACCGGTGCGGATTTGTCCCGCCTGTCGTGATGGAGTTCCCAGGCATCACTGTCGGCGGCGGCTTCGCCGGGTCAGCCGGAGAGAGCAGCTCCTTCCGCTACGGGTATTTTGACCAGACCGTGCAGTCTGTAGAGATGATCCTCGCGAATGGGGAGGTCGTCAATGCCTCCCAGACTGAGAATCCAGATCTCTTCAAGGGTGCGGCAGGGGCCCTGGGGACCCTTGGTATCGTCACAAAACTGGAGCTGCGGTTGCTAAAGGCCAAGCAATTTGTCAAGCTCAGCTATCACTCGTACTCGACAATTCCGGAAGCCGTTGCTGCGATACAACGGGAGACGAATCTGGCGCATAATGACTACGTCGAAGGGCTAGTCTTTTCGAGGACGAGCGCCGCTGTTGTTACGGGTCATATGACGGATGATCTGCCCGACAAATGCCAGCCCCAGACATTCAGCAAATCCAAGGACCCTTGGTTCTACCTGCATGCACGAAAAAGAATCGCAAATGGCACACCGACGCCAGATTATGTGCCATTGCAGGATTATCTCTTTCGATACGATAGAGGTGCATTCTGGATGGGCGAGCTAGCCTTCAAATACTTTGGATTTGTCCCATTCAATCGACTTACTCGCCGGGCTCTGAATCGACTCATGGACACGAGGACGCTATACAGAGCCGGCCTAAGCGGCAATAGCCGAATGACATTTAAATATACGGTTCACGACCTCTCGCTGCCATACACCACAGTCCAAGAATTCATTGACTACGTGGCAGACAACCTCGAAATATGGCCGCTCTGGCTGTGTCCCCTCCGTGCCACTGAGACCGTCGGCTTCCACCCCTACACGATGGAGCCCGGAGGAGAGACGCCGCAACCGATGCTCAATGTGGGTGTGTGGGGAGCGTCGTCGAAGAAAATTGATCGGTTCGTCCGTCAGAACCGAGATCTCGAAGCGAAGGTCATGGAGCTAGGCGGGCGCAAGGTGTTGTACTCTCACGCGTACTACACCGAGTCGCAATTCTGGGACGTGTACAACAAGGAGTGGTACACAGAATTGCGAGATCGGTACAGCGCGACGAGTTTACCGACGGTTTATGACAAGATTACGGTTGATGTGAGCAAGGAACGGAGGAGAAAGTCGTTGAAAGACAGGCTGGCGATCACGTGGCCGGTCGCTGGCCTTGTTGGTGTTTGGTCTGCAATACGCAAGTGAGAGCAGATCGCCTTATACGGCCGATCATGGAATGGTGGGCTGATATCTATGGGCCATGATGATTGTTTGGTGTCACGTCTTGAATGCTTGTAATGTGTTATGAGAGCATGACGCCATGACGGTGCGGAATGTCTTTGTTGGTGTGGTCATGGGCAATCTTTTGGCGTCAAATGTTTCTGCATCCTGCATACTTAGCGGAGTTCGGGCACGAGGCTTCTCTGTTTAAAATGCATATTATTGTGATACCTGTCATATTTCAGATGCTGTTGCCGGCAGCAAGTTTAGCACTAAGAGTTTGTGTTGCGCGTCATGTTCTGGGAATTGCTGGGACCATTCAGGGTTGAACAAAAGTGTTAATATTCGCCATCCTGCAAATGTGAAATTGCCACAAGATATTAAACCTCTACTGCCGGCCCATGATCTCCATATATCGGATCTCTACTAAACCACGGTATCTCAGCGATGGCATCAACCTTTCCTTCCTCGCCCCTTTTGCCGTAGCACATATCCCAGCGGTAACCTTTCGGATAGCTTCCAACCATCTCGAAACCACTGCCAAAATCATCCAGCAAGCGGTGAGAAACGCCGGCCGGTACAATGATCACATCGCCCTTCTCAACTAGAGGCTCGATCCGGCCTTCATTATCTTCGCCCCCAAAACAAAGCTTAGCGCGCCCGTGGCTAATGCTCAGAACTTCGTGTGTCGTACTGTGGAAGTGACTCGTGCTGTACATGGTGTATCGCCACTGCGGCTCGACGACACCAAGGGAGGTAAGGCGAGATTCGATGGCTGATGCACTCGCTGACGAGAAGGCGGAGTGATAGATCAAGAGGGGTTTGTTTTGGATGCTTGTGTTCGGGAATAGCCCATGTGCCGGGATGAAGTGCTTGGAGACGCGCAGTGATGCCAATGCCGTCAGGCTGACTTTGGAGCCCATGGCTATATGTATAAACGTGTATTCTCCTTTGGGCTGGTTTATTGATATATCTGTAGGGTAAGCGGTGATACTCAGTTACAGATCTATCTTGGGTATGTGAGGAACAGAAGCTGAAAGTCGACACTGGTAACGAAGTTGAGAATGACGTGAAGAAATACTGACGTCATACCCGGTGCGACCGCTCATCATTGCTTGATCTATTCTCATTATTATCATAAGTCTATTCTTTCTGTGCCTGGGCAGAGTCTTTTTATACACGACGAAATCTGCTCTTATCCTGCATGTGGCCAAGCCATCGTGCGTTCGACGACATGACGTGAGGGAACAACACGCCTAAACACCAGTACCAACCGGATGTCCTTCGTTCCAAACCCTTCAGGAACCTCACGTTTCTTTCCAAGCCGATGCAATAGCATTCCAGTACTGGTCAGGATGCATTCGCATATGCCCAACATGGCCACTGCCCTCGAAACGCACCGCATCATAGGCGTAGCCCTTGCCCTTCGACTCAGCCATGTTCTCCTCAATATCCTCCCAGCCAATGAGCGGATCCTCTTTGCTGTACAGATACAGCTTGCGTGACCCATTGGAAACATATTTCGTGTCGCCAATGGCCGCGACGCTGAAGACGGGCGCGCTTTCGCGGCCGGTGAGGTGCTCGAAGCTGTGGTTCAGAAGAAGGAAGACGCCCATGATGCACTGTGTCACGACAAATGGCCAGGGAAACCAACTGGCGGTCCCGAGGGTCATGGCCAGAGACCAGCGCTTAAAGTTGTTCCAGGTCATGATCACGCTGCCGGGCGTCGAGTCGTAGCTAGAGAGGCGATGCGGCATCGGGCGACCGAATCTCTCTTGATAGGCGTGCAGGGTTCCGGCGTAGTTGATGCCGCCCGTGTTGGACATGACATGCATGAGAACCGCGTCTTCGTTGGGGTCTGGTGTTCCAGACGTTGCTGAGGGATAGGCGGCTTTGATGATGGGCATCATGTTGTTGGAGCGGGTCTGGAGGTCCTCTCTCATGGCTTTGACGATGGGCGAGAGCACGGCGATCTGTTTTGCGTGCGGAAAGAGTGTGCGGAATCCATCGGCGTATTTGGAGACGTGTTTCGGTATGGCGTCGCCCCAGCTGTAAATGATAACGACCCTCGGGTGATCTGCTTGTGCTTGCGTGCCCTCTGTTACTGGTTCACCCTCGCGAAAGAAAATCTGGTCGGTGATGGCTGTGAAGCCTGGGAACGGGTCTGATTTCGGTGCCATTTTGAGGGCTTCTTGGGTCGTGCACCACTGACAATGGGATAATACTGAGAGTGAGATAACAAGCGAGCAGATGTAAGCTTTGGTGAGAAATTTTGAATGAAAGATTCGGGCATCAGCTGCATATTCGCGAGGAGGGAGCGTCAGCCTTCATATTTTGAACGTCAGATCCATTTTCTGATGACTGATCTCATCTCGGCGATAAAATCTTATCAAAGGCCCGGAGAGTCGGTAGGCGTCCCGCGGCCACGCCGTTGTTGGGACGCGCCGTGGACCCAGGAACCTAACTGTTGGGACTCGCATCGGAGCAGTAGCCTGAATACCGTACGACGGCCGACGTTGGGCATAGTCCACGGAGGATCCGTCACTCTAATCTGGCGTGCCTGGGAGGATCGCATTGCGCGTTGTGTGGCGCCTCAAATCTCACCAGTCATGGACTCATGGCGCCGCCCTGTGTGGGCTTTTTAGGGGGCTTTCAGTTATGAGTGTGAGCCACTGAGAGTGAGAGTGAGACTCATCTCACTCACGCTAGGTACTCAAAAATAAGCTTGGCGGCGTGCGCTGACTGCTCACTCAGGTCCACTTACCGAGGCAAAAGTAGTTGCTGTTCAGATGTGGCCAGACATCCAAGCTCCCTGAGAGTTGACCAGAATGAGCGGTCTTGAGTCAGGTGACATGTGCACAGCCGAGGCTCGCTCAGAGACGGGAATCGGTGTGAACTCCGCCCGCCCTTTCACGTTGGAGATGGACGAAGTGAGAGCCAACAAGCGTTCGAGAACCGGGCCCACATCGCCGATACCCCAGGAGCTTCCCCGGATTCCAGCGACTCGACGATAGTTCAGCTTCAACCACGTTCTTTTCGTGTATTACTGATCCTAGAAACAGTTATCTCCTGCATCTGTTGAACGGCCTTATCGAATTACTGGCCAGTGGCGTTGCAAAGGCCAATCAGCATCCCTACAATTGAGCCTCTTGGAGAAGAGGACGAGACTTTGACCCTTGAAACCAGCTGAATCCTGTCGATATCATGGCGTCTGAGGAGCCTGTAACATTCTCAAGTGCTACGACAATAACAAAACTCGGGCCCAATGTGTACGGAGCAAACTTAGTTCCCAGCTGGTGCACCGGCTCAGGTCAGTTGATTTTTCCCTACGCCCAATTGAGCTCATCATTGACAGCGCGCAGTTCCGAATGGCGGTTACGTCGCATCGGTGATTCTCCGTGCGGCATCGCAGCATCTCACAGCACGCGGACAACCCGACTCAATCTCGGCGCATTTCGAGTACGTCAATCGCACGGAGATTGGTCCTGCAATTCTCATCGTCGATGAAGTCAAGCTCGGCCGCAATCTTTCAACGTTGCACGTCTCCCTCTATCAACATGATCTCCAATCATCAGCTCCCTGGTTTACGCCGTCTTCCAGAAAAGAAGTCGTCGCCTACTTGATCAATACGCGCTTGACTGTCGAGAAGGGCCTGACACTGGAGAGCGGCTGGGCGATGACTCCGCCAGCCAAGACCGCCAATTTCTCCCTCCTCGGTCAGGATAAGGACCCCCACTGGGTGCGCAAGCTAAAGCTGAATGCTCGCGCGACGTCCTACGCCCGCGCTCACAACAACCTCGAGTACTACGTTCCGCGTGAGGACTCACGCCGTGGAATCGTAGATCTCTGGTTGCGGCTGAAAGACGGCCAGAGGTTTACGAATGCATCGCTCGGCTATGTCGTGGACGCGTATCCGACAGTAATAGAGGCATGGAGACCGAAACGCGACGAGGAACAGACACCTTTTCGGTCGAATGAGATGTTTTGGTACCCTACCCTTGCTCTGAATTTGGACGTGAAGAAGGCTTTGCCGGAAGAAGGGGCCGAGTGGCTCTTCCTTCGGACAATGGCAAAGGTTATCCGGAATGGCAGACTAGATCTCGAGGTTATTGTTCTAGATCAGGGTGGAGATGTTGTCGCTCTGAGTACTCATGTGAACATGGTTTTGCCCGCTGAGAGGAACTTGAAAGAAAGGAGTCACTCGAAAGCAAAGATTTAGATGCAAGGCCTAGACGTATACTCAACCTGATATGGTTCAGTTCATTTTTCCAAGGACATTACGTATCAAATCTCATATCCTATGTACATGTTCATAATACCCCAAACCCACTATGGTTTGCACCATTCGGACGTACCTAGTTCAAGGCGCTGATCGAGGCGTGAAGCTGACCGCAAACTATTGCACCTTCCCTCTAGAGTCAACCGACCAGATTTCTTCGATAACACCATTACGATGGGCGTAATACCAGTCGTGAAGGTTAATCGTTGGATCAATGTGACTAGGAACCATTTCAACCCGATCTCCCACCGCCAAGGCGGGAGTTCCCTCCTCCCAACTAAGCGAACCATGCTCGTCTCCCAGGTTGGCGTGAGCATAGCGCCGGTCTTTGCATTCAGCAAGTCCGCTATCCGTCGTCAACGACTTTAGCCCCGTGTCAATCGTCACTTGCCGCTCGCTCTGCTTGCTGACAACGGTCGCTAACAGCGTCAAGCTGTTGGAGTAGAACGAGCCGACGGCATTGCGGTAGTCCGTATCCATGAAGATGAAGGATCCCGGCTGCAACTCCGTGACTCCTGGAACCGTAACGCAGAATTCAGCGGTGCCTGTGCCGCCGGTCGTGACCACCTCGATGCCGAAACCTGCTTTCCGAAGCGCTTCTGCCGTCTCGGTCAGCGTCTTCATGGACTCGAGGCACTGCCTCTTTCGGTCCTCCCGGTCGTGGAGGTGCTGCAGGTGGCCCTCGTATCCCTGCACACCAATCAGGTTGAGATGCTTGAGATTTTCAATGTGTCTCGCCAGAGCCAAGGCAGGCTCGCCTGCGGCCACGCCAGTCCGATGCAGTCCAACATCCAAGTCAATCAGTGTGAGAATAGGCTCCTCGACACCGGCCTCCTCCAACGCGTCGTTGATTGCCGTTGCCCCAACTTCGCTATCGATGACGACTCTAATCTTCTTGTTCTTCTTGAAGAGTTCAACAAGACGCTTCACTTTCGGTTTGCCGATGATTTCGCACGTAATGAGGATGTCGTCGAAGCCCGCCGCCGTGATGGCTTCTGCTTCTGATACCTTGGCCACACAGCAGCCTTTGGCACCGGCGGCAACAAGCTTGCCGGCAAGAACTGCACTCTTCGTTGTCTTGAGGTGAGGGCGGATGTTGACTCCAGTGGGAAGTAGGCTGTCGAATAGCTTCCTGATGTTTGCTTCCATGAGGTCGAGATCCACGATCATGGAAGGTGTGTCTAGGCTGTCTAGCCCGTCTCCTACATTGACAGTATACATTTTGGCGACGATTTTGGGTTGTTGAGATGAGATTACATGGCGTGAACAGGTTCCCAATGCCACAGATGAAGTGAACACGGGACTCCAAGATCCCGCATAAGATCGGCTGCGGGGTCGGTAACCCCAGAGCGAGATAAGATGTTACGAGTTATGGCACACAGCAATGGGTATACGGAGTATGGTAAAGTGGCCTAACTTATTAAAGTAGAAATAGATAAAAGAGAAAGGTCTATATGCAGGATGTAAGTGAGATATACGTGATATAGTACGTAATAGGCACTTTGTGGATTGCGGTCCTTATCCTTGTTACGTGATATACCCCCTAATTGCTATTATAAGGGAGCTATTATGCCTAAGATAGGACCTCTGAATAGCTTTATAAAGGCCCGATTTAGTTGAGTATAAATAAAGGAAAAATAAGTGTAAGGGATACGCGTCTTTTGGAGCGCGTTTGTTATTAATATCCCCTTTATTTAAAGTAAATGGAATCTTAACTAGGAATAGCGCGTAGTCTATTACTTCTAGTGTGTAAATTAGTAAGGGCGAGGCTACTTACTTGCCTTGTGTATATTTAAAATCTTGTGGCCTCGCTTCGCTATTGTTTTTCTTCTTCTTTTTAACTTTTTATAATCGTTGTACGTACCTTTACCTGCTACGTACGCACACTAGCGCTATTAAATCCTTTACTGATTTTATTTTAAATATAAATATTCGATATATTTATAGTTATTAATAAGTTTTGCGTAATTTTTATGATATATCCTATATATGTATTGTGCGGTTTGTTAAAAGTTTAGTTAGATAACGATAGCGACGAGGCCCTCGTAGTTAAGTCCTTTTTCCGCCCCCGCCGACCTATCTTTTTTATGTACTAGGGCCCTGTTACTAAGCTCTCTTTCCTTAGCTAGGAGGACGTTGAGGCTACTGCTGGAGATGCCGAGAACTCTAAGGAGTTCGAGGCTCTCCTCGGTAGTAAGGACGTGGGCTATGATAAGGATATAGGCGGTTATAAGAGCTTTAGTAATGAGCTTTTATTTCCTTTTATTTTGGAGTCTGAGAGCGAGGAGGAGTTTAAGGAGGAGGAGGACGACGATAAAGATGAGGATGCGGACGACCTGCTCTCTAAGAAGGGTATATCGTATACTGTTTTCTTAAGTATTTGTATTTAATATTATTTAGATTTTAAAAAGCGTAAGCTCGCGGCCGCTTCTGTTAATAAAAAGGGCGCTAAGAAGTAGAAAAAGGATAAGAAAAAGAGAACGCCGAGAGGTAAAGGTACCCTCTGCAGTAAGTATAGTTCTTTTTGTTTATAAGGACCTATTTAACGTATATTTAGTCCTTAAGAAGCTTAAGGGCGAGGCTCCCGAGGAGTAGGATATTTAGTATATGCCCTGCCTTTGGGTAGCCCTCTAGTATATTAACCGTGAGGATAGTAGTCGTTGTTTTATGGGAAGTAGTAGCCGGTGTATATGCTATTTTAACGGCCGTTTAGTTAAAGCTTATGTCGATATGCTAATTATCTTATGGCTAATGGCCTAGGTTCTTACCGAGGCGATCGTGGGTAGTGCTCCCCCCTTTATAAATATATTGTCGTTTTTTATTGTTAAGAAGCGTACTCTTAACTATAATTTCGGTAAGAAATCGCTAAGCTTTATAATATCGTTTACTAAATAGACGATAATATTAAAAAATACGAGGACTATATCCGCTTTTAGGTAAACGACTTCTTCTCCCCGCGCCCCCCGACCCCTCTTTTAAGTACGCCGGTGTTATTTATTGTGTTTATCGTAGTCGTTTATAATTAACCTCCTGTCGCCCCCCCCGCTCTTATACCCTAGGTCGTTAATTTAATAGTCGTTTTATTCCCGGCTCCCCCCGTTGCTCCCGCTACTGCTAGTTTTGTAGATTTCGAGGTGTATAAGGCGCGGTTCTTAGTGCGCGTGACCGGTCTCTTCGCTACTGATGCTATAGTTCTGGCGGTTTCGTTCTTCTTAGACTAGGAGTTTAATTAGTGGGCGTAAGCCCGAGTCCTATTTCTGTATGTGTATGCTTTACGGGGTAAGGTTGTTTTAGGAGTTTGGGCCTTCGGGCTAGGAAAAGTTTTGTTTATTTTGTTTTGGGCTTCCGGGCCGTACTTTAGGTTCTGTCTGTGGTTTGCCTTCGGGTACTGAGTTTTTTTAGGCGTGGCCTAAATTGATTACTTTTAATTACTTTAGTTATTTATAATGATTTTTTGTATATCGTAGAGGTTAAGGAGTGTATAGAAGTGTTCGAACTTAGTTTGTAAAAGGTTTTTAGTAAGTCTATTTACTGGTATATCTTTTATTAATATATACGTAACCTCGAAGCTGCTTTTGGCGTGCTTTTATCTGAGCTATATATTCTATATATTGATATAACGAAGCCGTGTAGTTATTCTCTTCCCTTCTCTTATGACGAGTCGAATCGTTTGCTAATTATTGTATTTAACTAACTATATTTCTTTTAGGTTAAGGGTAATATTTTTAAAAAGGCGCTTTAGAGCTATAGTTTCTTTTACGGTTTCTTTAAGGTAGAGAAGCTTAGCTTTGGTAGTTAACGTTATAACTGTCGCTTAGTGTATAGATTTTTATTGAATTGGGCTGCTAAAAAGGAATATTATATATCCTTAGGATAATCTTTATATTACCTCGTTATTTACGAAGCTGGCATCCCTAGCTAGAAGTAATAATTGCGTATTTAGTACGCTGCTGTATAAGAGCGCGAGATATTTTGTTATATATAGATATTGAATACATTAATTAATAGCCTTAGTATGGATTGCGCTTAGGTTGGTTAGGAACCGTGATAATTGTGAGTAAGTAAAAGCGACGTCTAGTTTAATTATAATAGCTGTATAGAGTATATTTCCGACCTTTTTTTAGAAGCTCTTTATTTTTTTTTTTGTGGCCTGCCCCTCGTTTAGTTTGAACTTTTGTTATAGTAGAGGGGTGGCTGGATTTATTATATTTATAAGGTCGAAGCGCTTAGTAACGCGTTTGATGTATACGTCGTGAGCTAGGTAAACCTTATAGGTAGTGCGGTCTTATAAAATCTATACTCTGAAGAAGTAGTTAATTGGTCTATTCTTTTTGAGGTTAATGTATTTTTTGATCCCGTTTACGACCTCCTGAGCGGCCTTTTAGTCGTCTCTATAGTAGAGGATTATGAAGTCGTTGATGTAGAATATTAGTATTACCTTCTGGTCTGCTGTTTAGTAGATATAGATCTCCTCGTGGCTATATATTATATCTATACTACGAAGTATAAATGTAAAGGTCTAGAACTATAAAATTGGTAAGTCTTGGAGCTTATATAGAGCGCGTTGGAGTCTTTTTATTTTCCTAGTGACTTTGTATCCTTTAGGTAGTTCTACGATTACTGGCTTGTCGCTCTTGATAGGCGCGTTGAGGAATGCGTTAATGGCGTTATATTAATTAGCCTCGAGGTCGAATTAAGTAGCTATTATTATTATAAGCCTGAAGGCCTTTGTAGCGAGCGTTGAAGTGTACGTATTTTATAAGGGGTTAAGCGGTTATATATTTCCCTTTATATATATACGTGCTTTTACTTCGTAGACCTTGTTATTAGTATTGTGCTTGTAAATATATACTTACTTTAATAGAAGTGGGATCCCTTGTTTAGGATTACGGTTAACCTCTTTTTATATATTAATATCCTTTAGCTTTTTTATTTCCGTATTTATGGCTTCCCTAAGTAGCTTTTATAATTGTTATGGGAGATATTTAATATTGCTAAACTTTTTTAGTGGGCTCGCGAAGTTAACTTTATTAGGTTATAGCTTATATACTATACTGGGGCGCTCTAGGTAGGTCCTGTAAACTACTCCTTTTAATATTTAATGAAGTATTATATATCCTATACTACTTTCCTTTATTACTTTTTATTAATTAGGTATAAAAGTAGAGAAAAAGCAGTCCTAATAGCGCTTATAGTAATCGCCGTTTTCTATATTTAAATATAAGAGCGTTGTAAAGATATTATTATTAAAGCGTTATAGAGGTCTACGGGCTCTGTTTAAGTGTCTAGGACCCGTATGAACCTTATTTAGCTTTTGCTAAGGCTGTTTATATGAGCTCTGTTCTTGTATAGTAATAGAGGTTTGTTATGAAGGTTCTTTATTAATATCGACTTTAGTATTAGGAATCGTATCCTTATAATCGGTACTTCGTTTACTGCGTACTTTAGCTTCTTGCTAAGAGCCGTTAAGAATTAAGGGCTTAAAAACCTCCGTAATATATATAAGCGCTCGTAGGGAGGACTATAAACTGCGTAGAGCCGTTTATGACCTGGTTACTGTACCCCCTTCTTTACCCCTACCCCCGAGCTTGTGTAAGGGGGTTATTTTAGGGGTTAGTAGTGCCGGTAAGACTAGGTTAGCCTCGCTAGTATTATTATCTGTACCCTGGAGTACGTCTGTCGGTTATTTAGCGTCCTAAATAGTTGAAAATCTAATAGTAATACTATCCTCGACTATAGAGTCGTCCTAAGTATTAGTATTTCCGAAGTCTAGATCTACTTCTCCGAGTACTCGAATTATTTCGTCGTTAACGTTAAAGAGTTTTTATATTTTTAAGATTATTAGATTTACTTGTTCGCTTACGATAGCTTGCTCTTCGTATGCGGGATTATAAAAAACTTTTTTGTTAAACTTAATATTTTTCGTAACGAATACCTGCTTGAGCGCGGGTACCTAGATCTTGTATAAGTTGTGCGTTTCTGGCATATATCTAACTAGGTATTTAATGTATTTATGGGGAAGCACTTTATATTCCTTTTGTCGTATACCCCTCTTACGATCCTTGTGAAGAGGATATGCCCGGTAGCTATATACGTATAGACTATTAAGATGCGGGGTTACTGGTTTAGAATCCCGTACTTAGTGACCCGTTTATTATTAGCGCTAATATCGCTTCTGCTAGTTAATTTCTATTGTAATAGGCGAGTTTCTATCGTTGGCCTCTTGTGGGGTAATATTATAGATAAATATCGTTACTAATACCGCTTCGTCCTAGAGCTTTTTAGGGAGGTTTGTAGAAAGGCGTATTTTATGAGTTTTAGTGATTGCGAGTTAACCTGCTCTCTTTGTATTGCCTACGGGTTCCTTTGTATATGGAGGTAGAAGTTCTATTTTAATTCTTAGCTTATTATACTACGTTTTGTAAGCGCGTTTAATGTTTATTGTGAGGATTGCGG